AAACAGCTTGTAAATTTACAGTGAGTGAAAAAATAACTTCGGTGTAAATTTGCATTGTTCTTGTAAATAGAAAGTGACGTAAATTTACATTCACTCTAAATTTACACTGTAGTTGTAATTTTACCTCAAAGTTGTCTTACACTCACTGTAACTGCCGTAGATTTATATCTGTATTACATCAGAATAGTGAGCCGAATGTCCGTATTTGAGAGAGTTGGTACGCAAGTCTATGCGTTTGCTCAAAGTTGGAGTATTCATTGTTTAATTTAGAATTAATTACTGTTCTACTTTATATCTAATTAATATTACTTTGTTACATATATATACCTTAAGGGTAATTTGTAATAGGTTATCCTATTTCATGAAGTATGAATTAGGTCATTTATTATTAATTTAAGCTGATTTGGTAAGCTCTAGCATATTAAGGATTACTCCAGCGCAGATCGTTTTTCCCGGGCTAAAATGGAGGAGCCATAAAATATTTGTGCGTGATAAAAGTTAGAGTTTTCACGGTGACATTATTAAATATAACTGTTTTAACTAGTTTGCATGTGGTAAACAATCTGGGCCTGATGATGCTGTATACAGAGCTATGGATGCCACTTAGCATTTAGTGTTTATGCCGGCCGACTAACGGTACAAGATATTTCTTCGGTCCGGTGACGTCAATATGTTTCTGTTGGACTCATAATTCAATTATGATTATGTGACTATATCAGCGGTAAACGTATCTTATTTTAGACCCCGAGTATTGGTTGCAGTTACTTCGTTCTAGCAGTTACATACGTTTGTTATTATTTTTGACGTCTGCATAATTTATGATGTGATGGTTGATTCACAGATCTGCATGTTATAGAACTCTAAGTATTTAAGTAATACCTATTCGGTAGTGACTAGTATTTGAGCATTTAAGATGAAGGTTACATAAGCTTTAAGTGTTTGAGTTTTTAAGACGAACATGATACGCACACTGATCCGCAGTGAATATTTGCTTGGCCGCGACAATCACTGATAAGGATGACATTGATGCGGCTTAATGAGCTAGAAATATTAACTTTTTTCCTGCGACAAATTAAATTCTAAAACATTTTTTGTATATATTGGAAAAATAAACAAAGGCGTTTGACGTATTTGTAGTTAAAAATTATTTCCGATTTAGTGTAAATGGGTATTAAAATGACTAAAATGCAGCATTCTCTCCGAAGCAGTTATGTCTTATGTAAACAATGCACGCGCCATTCAGCCAATGATTCACACCGCGTGCTGTGACAGCACGTGTTAAGGTAGTCATCTATGACAGAGATATTATACGAAACTCGTAATTCTCTGTGAAACAGATTGCATGATATGATGTAAACTTTGTATCCAGTTTAAACAGTTAGTTTTAATAAACTTGTCAGCAGTAATAAAACCGGACTTATCAAGTTATTTATCCTGATAATAATGTGATATGTAAATTCTAACCGCCCACACATAGACCTCCCTCCTCCATTCCGATTTTGTGCCACAAAAGAGGTGTCGGCAGTTATACTCACTGTAAATTTACACTGTGGTTGTAAATTTACCTCAAAGTTATTTTACACTCACTGTAAATTTACGTTTTGTTTGTAAATTTAAATTTACTATTTAGGGGTACATTTACAAGTCAGTGTTAAAATACAGTGATTTTACTGGCAACTTTCTGCCAGTCATTTTGCGGTAAAAATATAGGCTTTTTTATCGACTTGCCAAATCGATTTGAATTTAGTGGAGATGTCATGTGACAGTATAGTCGATTTCAAAGTACTTTGGCGAGTTCGTTAAATGCTCCGATTTGCTGTAAACAATGGTTGTGGCTGGACACAGTTGAAAAAACACGTGACCACCCGATCAAATCGTCAAATCGCACCCTGAAGTGATTTGGCGATTTGATGTAATCGCTTCGGAAATCGGTGTCGATAAATTTGTTGATTAGGGTAACCAATTTGAATTAGATGGACGTTAAAGATGAAAATTTGATTGAATGCAAATCACTTTGGCTAATCAGTGGTCGATAAAAACGTCTTATAATTTGAAGTGTATATTTACTTTAAATATACTAAACAGGTTGACATGCAAATATGAAAGTAATGTTTGATGTGCTATACTGGGAGCTGAGCTACAAAATTCACGCCCCATGGGTCTTTATATTGCCATTAATCCCTGTGTCCATGCCATGGTTTTAAAAACTTAGATTTTAGATTGCTGGACCTTGGTCCTGGTGTCAATGAAGTTATCATATACAATACTGGTCGTCTGGTAGAGAGAGAGAGAGAGAGAGAGAGAGAGAGGGGATTAATGTCCAGTCGACACAAATTAGGTTATTTCGGGACTATCATAAGGTTCAATTTAAATTCAATAATTCGATTGCACGTAGGGATCTTTAGCAGTGTATGGAGGGGGGAGGCGGAGGACCTAGGGTAAACGGCCGACCATATTTCTTGTCACGTACAAATGGTGGATCGAAACCATGCCACTAGAGTCGATGTCAGATCCTACCACGTGCTTGCAAAGTCGCAGTTTTCACCCTCCATACACACACATAATAATACACTATATAGAGACACGAGTTGTTTAAAGATGGGTTCCCAGAAAAGTATTTATCAGGTGGTTATTTCCAAAAAAAGTATGGTAATTTTGGTATATATGGAAAGAAGAGATATCCAATCTTACTAGAAAAATACTGGATTCCCCGAAAAACACTCATGGAGCGTATACAGAACAAAAATGTAAGGGTTTTCCCCTAATCGACAGCCCGACGATTGGGAATTTCTGCACGCGTGATGTCAAAGGTCACACGCGAACATTGAGCGCTTGATGTACAAGTTGATAAACTTTATGAAGAGTTAGACGTACAACACTTTCTGAGATAAAAATGACGGAAAAAGACGCGGGTAGTGGATAATCCGAGAATTTAATTAGGATTCGATATTTGTAATAAATAGTAAGCGATTAAAGACAACATCGTGTTATGTATGCAATGAATTCTCCTCTGACTTCCAAGAGAGGTAAGTCACGTGACGTAAACATGACCTGGTTTGATCAAATTTGTATAGCAGTACATTCCTTCGCAATTACAATGTTTGAAAAGGATTTGAAGCAAAATTATGACAAATTAATTAGTTTGAATAATAGGTTTTTAGTCCATATATACCATTAAATCACCCAGTTTGTACGCGGTAACCCATCTTTAATTGGGTTCATTAGCTAAATTGTTCTAATAATGAGTATGCATGGCAGAACAATGAGTATGCATGGCATTCTATGCAACGCTAATTCGCAAAGGATTGACAACTTATTAGACGAATTCCAATCCTTCATGCGGCACTATCGGACGGATGTGTATTTAGTATTTAGTCGCTAATTGGCTGTCTGTAAATTATTTAAGAAACTGGATGTCTTCGGTAGATTCTAATCATAACTTTATGCAAACATATCTTTCTGTCTTATCCGCCGTAAGATAAGATTTTATTGTATCCATAAGATCAGCATACAAATTATACAGCAAATATTACAGCTCTACGCTTACCTTGTTTAGAACTGAGTAGACCACAGGGTCAGTCATTGAGTCAAGTGGCGCGATTTCGATCCAACACCTCGTGGAATTTCTCCGCCCCCCCCCCCCGCCGACCCCTTCCATCCTCCCAACCCCACAGCAGCTTAGAAACCCCCTATACGCAAGAGAATTATTGAAATACAATCATATGCAAAATGACCTAGTTTGTGTCGAGAGAGTGTGTGGGTGGGCGTACGCCTCTCTCTCCCCCTCTCCCTCTCTGAATAACCTTTCTTAATAGATAAATAATAAAACATTAATTACAAACAATTCAAGCCAATTAATTTATTTAACAATCACTTGGTTAATTTTTCTTGTCCTGAACGACACATTCTTTATGCTTGCAAGCTTATGTGAACCTGAACATTAAAAGCATTTTTCCTGGCCAATTTCTTCCTAAATTTAGATATAAAAGTTAACTGGTAAACATATTGTTGTTACCGAAACACCCCTTCAATTAAAAACAATCACTGGCAAAGGGGAACCACGCCGGAAAACCTGGATGAACTTTCTCGGCAAATGCAGGGATCGAACACCCGACCTCCAGGCTAGCGAGCCAGCATCTTACCCGCTTAGCCACCGTGACCCCCTTATAAGTGGACTATATAGATGAAAAATAATGAAGCCTTAAAAGGTCTATCAATGTTCAAGTTCTAAAGAGATGTACAATTACACGTTTCTTGTAAATTGTACACAAATTCTGTATTCAAACATGGTTGAATAGTATAATGGTGTGATAATCTGCTATCGTTAATATAATTAATGATTCTTAAATTAACCACTTTAAGGTCAACTTCCTAGTAAGTCGTTAACCTGTCGCCACTTTTCAAGCCGTCATTGGTAACGACGTTAATCCCATCTATTGTTTTTGTTGATTTATTATATTGTTTAATCTTTTATGCATTGTTCATCTATCGACATGTCAGTTTTAATTACATTTACTTTTATCTTTTCATCTGATTTTCCTTAAATATTACAAAATATGTACATATTACAAAATTTGTACATTGAAGGCAGTCACTAGTTAGGATCCCTTACTAAGTGCAGTAACTGGCCTGTCAGTACTGTATGACGATATATGTATATTTATGTTCCGGTATATTAAAGAATTGAAGAATCATTCGAAGTCTGTTATATCCGAAGAGAGAATTTACACCTCTAAAATAGTAGAATTATACATAAGAACAGTTAAGTACAACATATATGTACTTTTGACCAACATAGTTGTATCAATACAGTAAATTTATAGTACAAAAACATGCAGTGGTATTTTTTCAGCGTTATGTTAAAACCCCAATATAACTTGTCAGATCTTCGTGTAGTGTAGGCCATCGAAAGTAAAAACGAAACGAAATATAGATCTGTATTTTAATCAGATTTATCTGTATTTAGACAATTTGTATTTAATCCATAGATTAGTATATATTTAGACAACTGGTATTTCACACATGAAGTGAAACTTGTCAGTGCATTCTCCATCGAAAAATCCGTTGGCATTGTTTGCCATACAGTGATCTGTGTCACGATAGTTATCTGGTGAACCCCTTCCCCATCCTGAAGAATTGACAGTTTCACCGTTTAACCAGTTCCATGTTCCTTCTGAGCTGACGTCAGTCGATCCCAACCAATGAGGAGCATATCCCACTTCTGAAATGAAATGAAATGAAATGAAGTACGGTTTAACATCCTACTTTTGTCCACCAAGCAGTATCATATGCGGTCCTTTTTGCATGGACAGAGGCGTTTCTCACTGTCTAATTCCAATTGCCAATGGGATTTTCCACACCACTGACAAGGGAAAATCCCGGAAACTTCTTCGGCCAACACGCACTGGAACCAGGCACACAACGGTTAATGAACCAGCGCCTTACTAACTAACTAATATTATAATATTAATACAAAAGTACATGAAGCATTGATTCACCAGAAGCCTGGAAGTTCAAAATATGACAAAGTGCTTCATAACGTTTATCAAACATAGATTATCTTCTATACAGTTACGTGGTAACATTAATGCAATGCACCCCACGTGTTATTATTGACACTGTAAGGACTCTTGTAAGGATACACAGAATACTATAGATATTGGTCCCGTTTTATAAAAGACTTTGATAGCCTTAAAGGACAGTATTGGTGTCAGTCATTATCGTATGAGACTGTGGGAGGATATCTGACAATTAAAAAAAAAACCTCTAGTTGAAGCTCATGGCTTTGTCCCCTTAACCTTGGACTTTGCCCCAGCTTTGCCCCTCCAACCACTGATGTCCAAATTAAGATGTGAGCGTATTTAAATAATCCTTACCAGGAAGATATCTTATGGCGATCTCTACTTTCTGTTTAGTATCCCCTAAATAGAGATGTCCATTGTCCATGCTACATTGTTTCATGGCATCTGTCCACCCCAGCCCCACCGCATAGTACCTGTAACAGCATTTAGCTTGGACGTTGTCAATGTAGGCCTGGTCAGTTGGACATGTTTCTGGAAAAGAATTGAAATTATTTGTATTTAATTTCTATTTGTTTACCTGGATTATGAGATAACACCCTTTATCATATATTATGTCAAAATTTTCATGGTACTTTTTAGAGACATTTTCAGTGTCTGATGAACAAAAGAGGTCGTTGTTGTTGTACCTTCGGTGTTCGTTTCACATACACCGTCCTGGCGCACAGTGGTGCTGGGCCTGTGTGCATGCTGAATAAGAACAATATTGGTGTCAGTCATTATCAGATATGTAATAAGTATAGGATATTAACCGATCCGAGGGAGAGAAGGTTTATATCCGACATATACAAAGTCATAGTTTTAATCACCCCTAAATTAAATAGTCTCTCACATTCAAAGTCAACAATGATTGGATAATTGTAGGGAGCTCCGTTAAGCGAAAATTTTCCCTACAGAAACTTGCACTCGACACAGCGAATGTGCACGCTTCAATGGCTTATCTCCACTCGAAGTGATTTCTGGCTAATCACGCAGTACGATAATATTCAGCGCTTTAGTCTATGAGTTTATAAATGGCTATCGCAAATGCAATTCTCTACACATCTATCAACTATTACAGTCGTTAAAAAATCTATTGTTGACGATTCTGAATAGCAGTAATATTTAGCTTCTTGGTTATGATAAATTGCTTTATTATTAAGTGTACCGTTCGGGACTAACATATGGTTCAATTCTATTTCAATAATTCGCTGCAGCAGTAGGAGGAACCGGAGGACCCGGAGAAAACCCACGAGGTTGGACATGCGACCCTACTGCTTGTCACGTACAAGCGGGGAATCGAAACCACACTACTTAACTAAAAAACAGGCGCGTTCATTAATCGCACACGCGTTAACTATTCGCGCCTCCCCCTCCAGTTGTTAAGACCCAACATACATATTTAAATGTATCTATAATTTTAATGTCAGAATTGTTGTTACTAAAATCTAATTTTAGGGTGACCCACGCACCTACAGAAATACAGTCAACCGCTGATAGTTCGAGACTACCACTGAAGCGTGCACATTCGCCGTGTCGAGGCCAACTTTCTGACAGTATGATACTATAAATAGCCATGGCACGTGCAATTCTCTACAAATCTATCAACTATTACAGCCGTAAAAAAATTATTGTTGACGATTTTGAATAGCAGTAAAATTAAGCTTCTTGGTCATTACAGCAGATTTAGAAATTACGTTCGTTTCATTTTTTAAATCGCTTTATCATTAACTGTACCGTTAAGAGCGGCATCTTTTGGTTTAGTACAAATAATATCTTAGACAGGAACATGATACTAGCAGTAGTTTCATTTTACTTTTACAAGCTTCTTAAAACAATTGTTGAGCTAGCTAACGTGCTCATTTCTAAATTCAATTTCTTGTTCTAGCTTTATGTTATGTTTCGTAAAAAAGTAGTCTTGATTATCCCGACCTGTCAATCAGCCCTAGAATGGTCGATAGACTGGTTAAGCGAGACTAATTTCAAAACAAGGGCATGTAACCTATCTTTTACTCAAAAGTGTCTGGATGTTATGGACGACACATGGAACCAGTTTTCAGTCTATTATTTATAGATGATTATTGGTCATAGCTTATTAAGTACAACATGATCGTTTATTTAGTGACTATAATTGTGTGAAACTGATTTGAGGCTTGGCATATATATAAATATTGTGGCGAAATTGTCGAGATATATGGAGATATTTATTTATGGTGGGTCACCCTACTAATTTTAATTTTGCTGTACTAAACCACTTCCAACCCTGTTGTTGCAATGTAGTTAAATAGTTAACTAGTCAAGTATAAAAGGTAATTAAAAGACTGCTGTTGCTGTATTTAATTACGTATTCATTGACAAGATTTATTTTACACTATGCCCTTGGGAGATCTATAGCATGCAAATACAACGAACAACGGTTTCGCAACCAAGTATTACAATTTTTTTTTAAAGATACATTCCCGCGTACAAACTGGGTGATTTAATGGTATATATGGACTAAAAACATATTCAAACTAATTAATTTGTCATAATTTTGCTTCAAATCCTTCTCAAACATTGTAATTGCCAAGGAACGCCCTGCTATAAAAATTCGATCAAACAAGGTCATGTTTACGTAACTGCATACATAAGACGATGTTGTCTTTAATCGCTTACTATTTATTACAAATATCGAATCCTAATTAAATTCTCGGATTATCCACTACCCGCGTCTTTTTCCGTCATTTTTATCTCAGAAAGTGTTGTACGTCTAACTCTTCATAAAGTTTATCAGCTTGTACATCAAGCGCTCAATGTTCGCGTGTGACCTTTGACATCACGCGTGCAGAAATTCCTAATCGTCGGGCTGTCGATTAGGGGAACCCTTACATTTTTGTCCTGTATACGCTCCATGAGTGTTTTTCGGGGAAATACGTTTCTATCTGACTTACACATCGACACAAATTATTACCATTTTTGCAATATCAACCGTTTACCCTTCTGCACGTGAAATTCAAAGCATACAGCTAATTACAAAGAATTTATGTCGAAGTAGCCCAAAAATTGAATTCTATGTTTTCGGTAACTAAATCTTGCAAATATGGAAATGAAAGCACTTCTGATGAATTCGATACTTGGACCAATCTTCTACACAGGCGCCTGTAACGTGGAAATATTTAAAAAATAACATTAAGCTATGACCAAGTACAATGTCTAAAGTCTGTTACGTCCATGTTCGTAAGCTAGATTATCAAATAACTGGTCTGATTCTGATTTCTAACTCTGGGGCAAATAGCTCGTCTGAAACCGATTCTCTTTCAGTAGATATAATAATACCAAGGTGAGAAACGGGGTGGATTAAAATAATTCGGGTCAAAGTTCGCAACTCAAGATTCCGTCAATCAGTGGCTATCACTAATTTTCGCTAGGTAGCAATCGAGTCTACGTAACCCTAAACGTCACGGTTGACTCGATTGTCTACCTAGCGAAAATTAAAACGTAACAGACTTAAGACATAATGCTTAGTCATAGTTTGATGTTATTTTTGAAAAATGTTCCACGTTACTGGCGCCTGTGATCTCCTACCGTACCTGAAGCTGAAATAGGCAAAATCCCATATTTCACAGGCGTGCGGCCATTTTGAATGCAATTGACGGGCGCAATTGAGCTCAAAATCGGACTATATGACAAGTGGTACATTTTTGTCAAAAAGTGAACGATTTGTAATCTAAGCGATTTCACTATAATGCCTACTGTCTGTTCCAGGCGACACTACGACTCGAAAATTGCTTACTATTTCTTCAATTTTTATTTTAAATGGTTAAAACTTAACGACCTATAAGTTCGATAAAATCCTTTATTCTCTTGTAAATTTCACATTTTTCGACACTAATCAACTTCTCAAAACATAAACATTATCACTGCGCTTGCGTAAGTTGGGTCACTCGTATATCATGTAGGGGTATAAGGTATTCCACAAATCGGGTGCATTCGGTTAATAATGCTTAGCGCGGGAGGATTCGCAGGTTTGTTTTGCGGCAGTGCGAGTGTATGTGTGCGTGATTGTGTGCGTATGTGTGTGTGTTTAGGTTTATCGGTATTTAATATTCCTTAGAGATATTCATAGTTCTGCATGTCTCCTAAAATATTCCTCACAGAACACTTATTTTCAGCATTAGATGGCATGGTAACCTTTCTGATAAAGTGTAAATATTGTACGATATCTTATAATTTTATGAACTTAAATAGTTTTGATTACCGGTATCTATTTTTTTATTTATATTCGCGTTCCACAGGCACACAAGATTTGTTTCAGATATTTTCGTAGATTAGATAAAAAAAAAAACGAATCGCAGAAAATATAATTCCTTGAATAATGGATCATCCTTTCATCACATGCATTTGCAAGTGCAAGATGAAGTGTGTATATAAGAAGGTGGATACTGGGTAAGTGATTATTGTTATTTACAATTTCAAGATGAAGATTACGCGAGATGTGAACCAATGTATCAATCGTTTATTTACTTATTTTGAGAAACAGATTAAAATGAATTTTATAAAAGTTCCAAAAAAGAGATTGCTTACGCATTGAATATACCCTTAAAATCCGTGTACGGGGCTTTGAAAAATGAATCATCTACAACGCAGGAAAATAAAAAAAAGCAAGGTCAACAAATGTTCAACAAAATTAGATAATTTTGACCTGATGACAATAAGAGAGACCATCCATAAACTACACGCCAATGGCCAGTATGTAAGTGCAGTTCATTTAAATATGTTTCATCATTGCTCTTCGACTTTTACATATATGCCATGTTCTGCATTACATAACCTTGATGTAATAATTGTCTACATAATAGTCTATATAATTGAAGGTTTCATTACACATTTTACAACGCCACTTGAGAGAGAAAGATGAACAACTTTCAAAAACAACTCTTTATCGGGCAATCAATGAAATGGGATTCAAGTACTACAGAAATCACGGTAAAAGATACGCGAAAGAAACTGTTGATATTGTTGCTGCCCGAAATAGCTATTTAAGAAACCTATGCAAGTATAGGCAAGTTTTCCATACGTTCACACGTTTTTAATAATTATTTTATGAAAATATTAGATTAGTCTGTCGAACAAAATTGTATAACTCAATTACTTATTCAAAAGTTGGATATTTTTAGGAGTGAAGGCTATGAAATTATATACCTGGATGAAACATGGTAAATGCTAACCAAGCCATCCATGGAACATGGACAGAAAACAGGAAAGGTAATGACTTTTTTAATTGCTTTCTTATTACGTATACTTATGCAAGTTTATATTTTTAATGTAGTATCTATGGATAGACATATTTTAATCATATGTTATTATATTTATAGGGTCATTGGGCATAACTCTCCCAAACTGCAATAGATTCATTTCTTCTGGTAAGGGATCAAGACTGGTCATCTTAGATGCTGGTTCGGTTGATCGGGGTTACCAGTAAGGCACTGCGAGTTAAACCCAATAGAGATAATTCAAGGTAATACTTAACACTGCAATTTGGACGGCAGTCAAGTTGACGGTATTGAAAGATAATAAATCTTGTCTTATCTGTGATGTTAAAAAGGGTTAAAACATTCATTTATGGAAGACTTTACTACATCTTATAACATTTTAAAGTTTATCCACATTAAATCAAAAATATTTTCATTTTAGCACAAGAAAAGGCCTATGTCGCCCGAAAAAATACCACTTTCAAAATCAAAGACGTTAAGCGTCTGTTCCTGGAGGCCAAGGCTAGTGTGACAACTACAGACTGGGCTAAGGCATGTCAACACGTCATAGACAAGGTGGAGGATCGGTTTTAGGAAGCGGGAAGATTGAATGAGGAAGTACCACCAGCCGTATTTTCGTTCGGGAGTGACAGCGAGTTTGGGTGTGAGAGTGAAGATTTGGGCGAGAATGACAGTGGAGAGAGTGATAGTGAAAAGGTTACTGAGAATATGGATGGCGGTGGTGTTGCGAATGAAGTTTCGAGTGATGATGATAAAAATGTGTGTAGTGTATGTGATTGTGAGTACCCACCGGGAAGTGGGTCGGATGCGATTGTGGATTGGGTGGGCTGTGATTTGTGTGAAAGGTGGATGCATGTGAAATGTACAGGGAAAGAGATTGATGTAAGTGCAAGTGTGGTGAAGTGTGTAGATTGTTTGCGTAAATTGTATGATAGATAGCGTGAATGTAGGCCAGACAACTTCTATAATTTATATTGTATATAGTTGGAGCATTTTCTGTGAGTTTGTGTAAATAAATGATTTTGTATAAAACAATTTATTTTCCGTTTTCTTGTTTAACAGGTAGACTGGCAGAAATTTAATTTAGTTCACGACGAATCAATATGAATAAATTAAATGTAAAAAAACCACCCGTGGTCTGAACACAAAAACGGAATTACGTGCCCTTGATCTATCAGGAGTTGACCTTGTGTGGCTACTACCCCGTTGCGTTTTCTATCATATTATCGATTGGTTAGGGGCATTTCACAAAATAAAAAAAAACTAAATCAAACAAGAAATAGAGTAGGCTATCTATAAAAATATCTTAGCAGCGCCCCCTTTTCAATTGGATTAAAACTTTTAAAAAAGAAAAAAAAACAAACAAGAAAATAGTATTAAAAGTCGTACAAAGCCAAATAAAAGCGACAGTTATATATCTATTATCCCAAAGCTAGATACTTCCAAATTTCCATGACGTGTCACTACAATATTAGGTCACACTTTGTATGTAGTTTATATCAATTTCCGAAAGCCACCAGACTGGGGCCGCCAATTTAATATCTAAGGCAGTGGAGCAAACAAGTGTGGTCTGAAACCAAATAGCAAATTCATATATTACCTCCCGTAAATAGCTCATTAAAGCAAGTTATATTCTACTGGGTCGAAACAACTATTTAAACATGCAAGTAGGACGAAACGACCCAAAGTCAAATCCACACCCCTGTTCGATTTGGTTTATTCCAGATAACTAGGTCAAGCATGGCTGTCTTCAATACCGCGAAGTAAATAAACAACGATTTTTCAAGACAGAAATGTTATATAGCTTGATCTGAAATTAGTTAACGTGCGGTAGAAAGTAAAGGGATGACAATTCCAGATAGGTCGTTAAGTTTTAACAATTTTAATTAAAAATTGAAGAAATAGCAAGCAATTTTCGAGTCGTAGTGTCGCCTGGAACAGACAGTATGCTATTTTTAGATTTCATTTGTTTTGGTAGGGTCGCCTGTCCAACTTCGTTGGGTTTCTCCGGGTCCTCCGGTTTCCTCCCACTGCTAAAGACCCCTACGCGCAATCGAATTATGAAAATAAAATTGAACCATATGTTAGTCCCGAAATGACCTAGTTTGTGTCGAGTGGACGTTAAACCCCATTTCTCTCTCTCTCATTTGTTTTGTGGCTCGGATTTATAAATAAACACTTTATTTCATTATGATACTTTATTTAACAAACTTCATGGGTTTTTGTATCACTCCGAATCAGCGGAAGAATCTAAGAGACTGCCGATGTGGTCTAAAAATTGAGTTTTCTTCAATGAACACCCACCTCCCTTATTCGGAAGCTGACTCACGTACGTTTTCAACAGGCATATGGTAACAATAAACAGTATTTGAGAGTTGTCAATTTATTCGTTTATGTGCAATGAACCGTAAAAGTCCTGCAGCTCTTTTTCCTAATATTTTACAACTTTGCTAATGACATCAGTGTAGTTTTTAGGTTTAAAGTTATTAAAACCACAGTGCCTGCAAAGCTAGCCTAGTTGGGGGCGTGGCATTTTGGGGCGTGTCTGTTAGGGGTAACCCACCGCATAATCTGGCAGTGGTCATTTATGACTCCTGTGGAGGTACTGAACAACTCCAAAGCTGTTTTAGGTGGTACAGATTTCAGCTAATCTAGCCTAGCTTTGGTCTAAATATTAGATAACTCTTGTCAAGGATACTCCACCACTACAAATGTCTGGCAATTACATAGCTCTGTCAGGGGTAACCCACCACTAGAAATGTCTGGGAATTACATAGCTCTGTCAGGGGTACAGCACCACTAGAAATGTCTGTCAGAGTGTTTTTGTAATACCTGAAGATGTACGGTACACTGCAGTAAGATTTTCGTGTGGTACACTTTTGAGCTAATCTAGCCTAGTTGGGGATCATGGCATTTAGGGCGTGGAATACCACACCCACCACCAGAAACACGGCAGACTTACATTCTGATGATACCAGATATACATATACTATTCAAAAAAAGTAGGGGATATTTGATTTTGGGGGCATAATACTAAAATATGCAAATGACTACGAAAAAAGTCACTATAGAACCTAACAGAAGAAACATTTCCAGTTACATGTGACGCCCAAACGCACCAATAGCTACCGCATGGAATGCAGGTGATGCTTGGGATCATCATGGGGGTCCAACCCAAGATTTGCACGACTCTGACTTTGAATGTTACAGTCATTGTGGCATTGAATGCCAGGGTGGAAACATCAGTTTAATTGTTTTAGTGACCAGAAAACAAATTTTGATATGCGTCGGCTTACCCAAAATGAAAGGTTACGTGCCCTTGGCATGCTACAGATCGGCACAACACAGGCGGTTGTGGCGCGGACGATGAATGTTTCTCAGTCTGTCATAAGCAGGCTATGGTCCAGATACCGTGATACACAATCTGTAGAGGACAGACCACGCTCAGGTCGACCACGCTCAGGTCGATTTATCCGTACCTTGGCCTTGAGAAATCGTGTCATCACAGCAAATCAGATCAGCGCTCGTCTTCAAACAGACACTGGTGTGAGAGTGAGTGGCCAGACGATTTGGAATCGACTGCATAGGGGTCACCTTCGCGCCCGACGTCCTCGCGTGATCCCTTGTTTGAGAGATCATCACATTCAGGCAAGACGTCGTTGGTGTAGGGATCGTCAACACTGGGATAATCGACGCTGGAGCAATGTGATGTTTTCAGATGAGTCAAGGTTCACTGTTGATTTTTTGGACAGACGTAGGAGGGTGTGGCGTCATCGAAACGAGCGCTTCCAAGACGTTAACGTCATCAGACATGATCGATTTGGGGGTGGTTCTGTTATGGGGTGGGGAGGCACCACTGTTGCTGGAAGAACGGCTTTACATGTTGTTGCAGGGCGTGTTACAGGCCAGTACTATCGGGACAACATCTTGGCAGTCCATGTTGTGCCGTTCGCACGACGTCATGGCCGCCGTTTCATCTTCCAGGATGACAACGCAAGATGTCACAGGGCCAGGATCGTTACAGGTTACCTCCAACAACAGAACATCACCACATTACCTTGGCCAGCACTGAGTCCCGACCTCTCCCTCATCGAGCATGTCTGGGACATGCTTGGACAGAGGTTACGTCAACGTCAACAACGTCCTGCCAATGTCCAAGAACTTGCTGCTGCGTTGCAACAGGAATGGGACAATCTGGACCAAAATGACCTTAGACGTCTCATTAGGAGTATGCCACGTCGGATCAATGCTTGTTTGGCAAACAGAGGAGGATTTACCCGTTACTGACTTGGTTGTGATGCTGTGGTAACTTTGCTGTTTGACCCCGGGTATCATTTTACCCTTATAATGGTCAGTCTGTGCCTTACTTAGTCTAACGATCATTTGGAATAAATCGATGAATGTGAACTTCATTTCATTTTGTCATTTGTTTCTTCGTCAGTTTCATTAGGTGACTTTAATAACACTTAAAATTGAAATATCCCCTACTTTTTTTGAATAGTATACATTGATACTATATAGGAGAAAATTGGTACACTTTTCAGCTAGGTTAACCCCCTGGGATCCCGGTCTACGCCGCTTTCCGGGCAACATTTCCCGCATAGAACAATATATAGCGTACATGCCCGTCTTCATTAACCCAGTCGGAGCAGAACAGTAGGACGTTAAACCCCATTTAATTTCATTTCAATATAACTCCGAAACTGGTAGCGAACCTTTATTCCTCGGTCCAGCTGCACATAAAATCTAAATTGCAGCCCGGGTGTATTCACCAACCCCAATTAGACACACGACAGTCAAATATATAGAGAGATATAGCTAGAAGTTATAAGTAGTTTTACTTACTCTGGTAAGCCCAATAATACACCATATTTGGCTCTTCAGCACCTAGACCCCCAGACCAGATTAAAATATTGTAAAGATAGCATTGTAAAGTACGGAGATTAATACCAAATGACTGACATTCCGTATCTGTTGTACATTTCTCCCCACATTCTCGAATAGAACCAACAGTTGGTGCCGATGTCCAATCTTTAAATAAAATACCCTCAAATATAGTCTTCTTATAAACTTGACCTGAACAGGTACCCGTTACGTCATCAATGAACAAAATGAAAACACTCATTGTAATCCACATGTTGTCTTTGAAATGAATCATGTTTGAGACATGATATGACACACAGCAACTGGAAAACTAATGGGTTGTTAAGCTCCTATCATACCACACTAGTTCTCATTTTGTGATGGGGACTTTATTGTTATGTACACCGTGCCTTGTTGATGTCTACATTATTGATATAAAATTACCTCTCTTTGTTTAATCAAGGTTTCATTGATTTTTAACGATGTCGCAAAGAATATATAATCATAAGTACTGTCCATTTTTCATTATCTGCGTTGTCAGTTTTCAATTTGAAATAATTATGCACTAGGTGTCATAGGCATACTTATTGCAAATTGAAAAATTACAACACAGAGTATTTATCCCACCTAAAAAACACCTAATGCATAATTATTGCAAATTGTATTTATCCCATGTTACATTTCATAGTTGCAGGTTTATGCAGATGTTATGGAAACATTCGAGATTTAGAAAAAAAAATGGCTGGTCCTTCTAGCTATAATAGTTCAAAGATAATGAAAAATGTATATATTTTGAAAATTTTAAATAGATTTATTCTGAGCGAAGTTATGCATGGTTAGTTTTATCGGGTTTCAGGCACAGAACGAAATTAAATGTGTATTACTTTATATAGATGAGAATAAAACTCAATAGGTTTAGGCCCTTTTATGGGCTTGCGATGTGAATAAGTGTCAAAATAATAATTTATATAACATTTGAGGCCAGAATAAACGGCATGAAAAAGGCAAATTAAATTTCACAAAATATATCTTAAAATTTACATAATAACCCGTGTATGATTTGTTTTATTATTATATCAATATATTAATAGTTTCCCCAGTGTCTACATTAGAAATTAAACAGGGGGGGGGGGGGGGTCACGTAAGACGTTACACCCCATGACCCAACTCGGTATCAACAGTATCAACCGTCGTGCGGGTATCATATTGCATAATAACATGTCATGGGCTTATTATTCTATCTACTAATTTGGTATGGGATCATATTGTATAATAAACTGGTATGGGCTTATTATTCTACCTACTAATCTGGTATGCAGGTATCATATTGGTATGCGCTTATTACGAATTTGGTATGGGGTGTCATATTGGATAATAACCTTATATGGGCGTATTATTGTACCTACTAATCTGGTATGGGGTATCATATTGCATAATATCCTGGTATGGGCGTATTATTGTACTTACTAATCTGGTATGGGGTATCATATTGCATAATATCCTGGTATGGGCGTATTATTGTACCTACTAATCTGGTATGCGGATATTATATTGGTATGAGCTTATTATTCTACATACTAATTTGGTATTGGGTATCATATTGGATAATAACCTGGTTTGAGCTTATTATTCTACCTACTAATTTGGTATGGGGTATCATATTGCATAATATCCTGGTATGTGCGTATTATTGTACCTAATAATCTGGTATGGGGTATCATATTGCATAATATCCTGGTATGGGCGTATTATTGTACCTAATAATCTGGTATGGGATATCATATTGCATAATATCCTGGTATGGGCGTATTATTGTACCTACTAATCTGGTATGGTGTATCATATTGCATAATAACCCTGTATTAGGTTATTATGAGTTTATTTCTATTTAATAATCCAATATACTACATAATAACCGGGTTAAATCTTTTCTTTATCGTTAGTAAATTTACAGCCGAAAATGTACCCAATATTTGTTATTGTTTTGACGGTTTACATCCGAGATTCGGCTGCATCCATGTTCAAGCTGAGAAAAGGTTTAAAACCCCGTGAAAAAATCCTCCGTATCTCTTTCGTAAAACGTGGTATAACTCTGGTTTGATGGCCTAATGGATGTATGGTACCTAATGACTACAGTAATGAAAACAACGGAACAGATCAATCATCCTCGGGATCCCCAGTGTATCGTTCCGTTCTACTCCACTGACCCCTTGATCCATGATATGCCTTTGATGACTTCATTGGCACCTAGGTTGAGTCTACGAACCAATCAAACTACCATGTACCCAAAGACGCCTGAAATCCGGCCCAGCCCAGCTAATGAAAAGAGAATAAATTAGTTCTATTTTTCACCTATTCGATTAACATTATCTCCATACAGTCTATATACATTGTTATTAATCATATGTTGTTTTTGTTTTTTGATTTATCCTAAAATATTTTGACAGAGTTCGCAACAACATTTTGGTATTCTTAGTTGCAATAAAATGCGAGTTATTGCCCTTTGTTTTGTATTAATTGAATCTTCTTTTTTGATTGATCAATAAAAAAGCACAATTATGAAGGGCGAATAATTTGACTATATGTCTAACCGCAATTGGGAAAAGGGTTTAGTGCAGTAGAAGGGAACGATACCACTGGGCATATACTAGTATATTAAGTTTCTCTCTGTGTGTGACACATTAGAATCCAAACATAATGGTGCAGACAACTCAGAATGAACCGAGTCTACAGATCAACTGGACACAGTATGTGGGGCGAAAGTTATTTTTAGTCTTTCTCTCCCTTACCCTTTTTCCCCCTTTTGCATGGCGATTCTTGTTGACTTTTTGGTGTAGAATCGAAGAAAATGGTTTGAAAATACATTTTCTGCCAGGTCTTGGTGAATATTCATGATTTTGAGGTGGAAGGATACAAGAGTTGAGAGGTTGGTTAGGATGAAATGTACTTCCAGCTTGTGTATCCCAATTTTTCAGTGGTGAACCTCGTACGTGCTTTTGGGCAAGAGGTTGCAACATGTTGCTCCATCTGTGGTAGAAAGCGTTCTACTCAACGACAATTTGGGATAAAGTTAGAGCCGGTCTAAGAGACGAGAATTAACAGTAAAGTCAATGGTGAAATCATTAGTGATCTGTGGCCAAATAAATCTTATTTTCGTTAATATGGTCTCAGACTAGCAATTATTTGCCCATTGACTTCAATGTTAAATGACTGTAACATCACAGGCTGTAGCTTTTTGCTCAACATTCCGTTGGTTCCAATCTTTATAGGCACAATGGAGACAACATTTGGCAATCTCCTCATAATTTTGTAGGGGGTTGACCATTTAGATTTTTTGCTACGCGGATTTGAAGTTGACTGGGGTGAAAATCTCACTTCCGACACAATGATTGCTCTGCAGAAAGACACTTTACACCCCCTATCCCTCCGCTGTAATATCATCAGTATTACCCAAAACTGCAATGAAATTGCAAATTTGATCCTTTTTCTCAAATTCTAGACCAAAAAGTCAACCCAAAAATGCAGGAAGAGGGGAGAAAAAAATTAAGGGAAAAATTGTCTATTTATAATTAATAGTTTTAGGAGGCTGACCCATCATGAAATAAAGGGAAATAATTACTAGTCTTAGGAGGCTGACCACAGTAATTGGATTTTGTGCTTGAATTGTAACCGAGCATTTTATTTGACACAAACAAATAGTTACATATAAGATTTCAAGGATTTCTAAGACTTTTTGTTTATGGCCAAACATGTAATCCTATGACATTTCTTCCAAATGAGTCCACACCCCAAAATGGACATGTAGATGTGTTTTTGCAGCTTAATCTTTTACATTTTGGATGTAAATCTATTATTTGTGGTGATCTTTTAAAATGTGGCACTTACAGGGCAATAAAATATTAATTTATAGCCTTTTCATACCCCTTTTATGCTATGTCAGAACTCCCTTTTTTCCATCTCATTTTGTCAGGACATTGATGTAAAGATTAAAACAACTTGCTTCCACAAAATATTTACACTATGTAATTTCAAGGATACCTCTGATTGTTAAAGTATTTTAAAAACTGAAATATTCCCATTTTTTAAAAAAAAATAGTGCTTTGCGATCCTTTTATTAGAGTGTCTGGTTGTCACCTAAATACAGCACTTATTTTACATTTATCAATCCATATTTTAATTAAAAAAATTCATATTTCTTATAACTAACTGTGTTTATATGTATGTATCTAAGCCAGGGGTAGAAGAACATGGCTTTTAGCCATATTCCATCAACAGTATTACTTATGTGGACACAAGTGGGATTTGTTACCACACCAACATTTTTAGAAGGTGGGCTTACAGGTTTCACTTTAGTTCCTTACAGTTACCTTCAATGCAACAAATTTGCAGCTCGTCTTCCTGTATACCGGCCAAGGTTTCTAGAAATAAATGCCTTTCATCCCAGACTTTCCCAGATGTGACTTGGTTGAAACTCTTTAAATCTTTTCGCAGAACTCACATTTTGACAAAATTAAGAAAGAATCTTCAATTCGAGAACAAAAGGCCCATGGACCTGAGCTGCAATCCGGTATACAAAACAGTACATAACTTTATAGGGTCACTATTTCTGCAGTAATTATTTTTTTTTTGATTCTGTATTATAATAATGTTGCAAAAATAAATGTGAAGCTATAAAGAAAAGAATTTTGATGATATATGAACTTATAAAACCATATAGGAGGCAGACCACCATTAAATTTCAAAGTAGTTCGTCTATTTATAGCAATTCTCTCTCTCTCTCTCTCTCTTTTCTCCGCTTTTGCATGCCCATTTTTGTTGATTATTTGGTCTAGAATGGACGATGAGGGTTTGGTAAATATTCATGATTTTGAGGCGGAAGGATAACGGGGTTATTAGGTTGGCTACGGCGATATGTACGGCAACTAGTTACATGTTTTTAGTATGCTTCTTCAAGTTTGTGTATCTCAAAATTTGGGTGGTCAACCTCATACAAATTTTGGTGCAAAGACATAACCATTTGTTCCTCTGTCTGTAGTGAAAAGCATTCAGCCCAACGAAAATTTGGGGAAAAGTTGGAGGTGGGCAAAGAGGCCAGAATTAACATTGAAGCCGAAGGGGAAATTAATGGTATCAGAGTTGTCTCCGATTGAATGTTTATGTTTAAGGATACTTCTTATATATGAAACTACAGGGTTTATTTAATAATCTTGGTGAATTATAAGAGGTTTGTATCAATGTCCCAGATAAATTCACACCTACTACTGAAACATTACGAGGTTTAACGTTTCCCTGGACGTCGGCGTTTCCGCAATC